TCGATAAACATTCACCTCTTTCTTTCACTGCCCATTCTTATCTTCAGCATCCTGCCTTGCATGCAGCAGGCACACATAAAGTAAATGCTTGTTGACTCACAAGCAGAGTAACCTTGTCAAGGTCTACTAAACCACTTGTGTACACTGATCACAAACTAGAAACAATGCTAACCTCAAAGCAAGTCTTGCATTTAAAAACTGTAAATCAAGATTTTTTTTGGTCTTTTTTGAGACAGGGTCTCCGCATAGCCCCAGCTGGCCTAGAACTCACAATATAGGCCAGGCTGGCCTTGAACTCACAGAAATCTGCCTGCCTCTGCCTCCCAAGTGCTGGGATTAAAGGTGTGCACCAACATAAAACCCTAAAAATGAAAAGCATTACAGGGGCTGGAGAGATGACTCAGTGGTTAAGAACACTGGTTGTTCTTGCAGAAGATCTGGGTTTGAATCCCAGCACCCACATGGCAGCTAACAACTGTCTGTAACTCCAGTCCCAGGGGATCAATGCCTCTGCAGGCATTGCACGACATGGGTGCACTTATCTACATGCAGTCAATACATGCATATACATAAAATTAAATAATAGATGAAAAATTTTTTTTTTAAAGTATTACAATTTAAAATGAAAGTTTTTTTTTAGCTCTAGTGTTGACTCAGAAAGGGGCTCTGGGAACACTGTAGGTCAGTCCTTCTGAATTGGTCAAATAAACCCAGATGAGCAAGAGATTAACTAAAATTCTTTGTAAGACTGAATTTGAAAATCATCCTAAGATAATCTTATGATATAGAAAACGAGTTTGCCTGTTTTTAAAAAGTTCTTCCTGATACTTATAAACATAAGAAGGTCCTGAAGGAGTAAGACAGTGTTACAGGAGGCCTGAGGACAAGATGCAGAGGGAGAGCCTAAACCAAGTCCAGTTGAAGGGACTGAGAAGGCGACAAATGGCAGAGGCTGGCAGAGCGAACTCAGTGTGGATTTAGTCATTAGATCCTGTCCTAGTTTGTTTCTCCATTGCTGTGACAAAATACTGTGACCAAAACCAAGGGTTTATTCAGCTTCTATCTCCCGGGTCACAGTTCATCAGGGAGCCCAAGGTAGGAACTCAGGGCAGGAACCTGGAGGCAGGAGCTGGAGCACAGGCCTGTTTACTGGCTTGCTCCCTGGCTTTCTTATGCAGCACAGGCCCACCTGCCCAGGGGTGGTACCACCCACAGTGGGTTGGGCCCTCCTATATCACTCAGCAATCAAGAAGATGCCCCACAGACATGGCCACAGGCCAGTCCAATGGAAGCAATTCCCCAACTGAGGCTCCTTCAACCCAGGTGTGTTGAGTTGACACTAAAGGCTGAGGAGACACAACTTGAAACTGGGATGCAGTTATTTTAGAACTAACATAAGGAAGCAGAATTAGAAAATGTTAGTGCCAAAAAGAGCTCAAAGATTCTGTGCTTGAATCACTTTGTGCCACAAAAGAAAAAAAAAAATGGATTTCAACAGTGTTAAGAAAATTTGTTATCTGTATGCAGAAGCAAAAAAGTTGGAAGCTTCCTTAAGCCAGATGCAAAAATTAACTCAAAATAGATCAGAAACCAGATTGCAAAAGGTGAAAACATAAAACTCTTAGAACAGAGAGAGTTATGACAGTGGACTTGGTAATAAGCACTGGGGCATGATGCTAAAAACAGCAACAAAAGAAAAATATATAAACTGTGCTACATCAAAATGAAAACTCATATGCATCAAAGGATACAACCAGTAGAGTGAAAAGGCAAACCACAGATTGACAGAAAATATTTGCTAATCAGAGATAAGGGGTTAGTATCTATAATATACAAAGAACTTCAACTAGACCTCAAAAACAAACAAACAACAACAAAAAATAATAAATAAAATAAAATAAAGGGAGACCTGGTGGCACAGGCCTGAAACCCCAGCTGCTTGGAAGGCTGAGGTAAATGATCACAAGTTAGAAGCCTGATTGGGCTACAGAGTGAATTCAAGGCCAACCTGAGCAGCTTAATGAGACCCTGACTCAAAATAAAAAGTTAAAGGGGGACCTTGGAAGATAGCTCAGATGATAAAGTGTTTGCCTTGAAAGCACAAGGACCTGACTTTGATCCCCAGAACCCACATTAAAAAAAAAAAAAAAAAAAGCCAAGCAGTGCTGACACACTCTTATGATCCCAGCACTAGGGGGATGGATGGAGGACATGGATCCCTGGAGTTCACTGGTCAGCCAACTGAACCTACTTGGTGGGTTCCAGGCCAACAAAGAAACCTTGTCTCAAAAAAAAGAAAGTGGACGGTACCTGAGGAATGGCACCCAAGGTGTCATTCTCTGACCTCCATATGCTTGCACAGCCATGCATAGGCACCTGTACACACACAAACACATAAACACACAGACAAAAACAAAGTCAAATGGCAAAAAATGTGAAAACCAGTGGGGGTACATAAGGGTGCAGATAAGGGATGGTGTCAAAATATGATAAAAATATATTGCATAGTGTATGAAACTCACAAAAATTTATTAAATTTTTTTTATAAAGAAAGAAAACTAGAACTTCAACTTAAAGTGGAGGCAGGTATTTCAGAGACAAGGCTTGTACAACAGCCTAGCAAGTATTGTTAATAAGACCCTTTGTTAATATGCCTAATTACCCTCAAATTAGGATGACTATATAATTTATAATCAATACTGCTAATCTTTTGAAAATAAGAGTGTATGCAAAATCAATAAAATAAAAGGAAAGTTAAAAAACTCAATAACTGGAGCCAGAGAGATGGTTAACAGCTCTGACTGCTCTTATAGAAGACCTAGGTTCTGTTCCCAGCACTGAGACATGGTAGCTAACCACCATCCAAAACTCCTGTTCCAAGGGATCTGATGCCCTCTTCTGGCCTCTGGGTGTACTTACATACACAAAGGCAAAACACTCATGCACATAAAATAAATAATTTTTTTAAAAAGTCAACAAAGGGCTGGGTATATAGCTCAGTGGTAGAACACTTGCTTAGAATGTGCAAGGCCCTAGGTTCAATCTCCAAAAACACACACACACACACACACACACCAAATATACCTCCAAAAGTCAATTAAAAAATAAAGGGCTTAGAAATTTCTCATAAAAATGTGTATATTCAATGAATAAGCAGATGAGGAAGTTAGTCAACACTGCTAGTCATTGGGGACGCACGAATAAAAGACAGTGGGATGCTTCACCCACCAAAGGATGGAAAATATCAAAACACAAAATGACAGTGCTGGCCACCACGTGTAGAAACTAGAACCCTGAGCACTGCTGGCGGGACTGAAAAACAATGCAGCTGCTGTGGAAAACAACATGGCAGCTCCTCAAAGCAGCAAAAATAGAATCATCATATGATTTAACAGTTCTTCTGGGTACACACATCAAAGGATTAACAGCAAGGATTTTGATAACTTTTGTTTATACATATTCACAGCAGCGTTAGCACCATAGCTGGAAGGACAGCTCAACTGTCCTTCAAAGGGTGAGTGGAAAAGCAGGATGCAGCACGAACCGTGCAAAATCATCCAGCCCCAAAACAAGGAGATCCTGACTATGCTGATAGGAATGAACACCGCGAGGATGGCACGTTGTGCCACACTGCGCCACAGCAAATGTGCCACACGGTCACAAAGGGACACACACTGCATGATCCCAGGAGCAAGATGCGCCTATAGCCGTCAGATTCAGAAAGGCAAAGAAGGTAGTTGCCAGAGTGGAGAAGCGGAGAGTTAGAGTTTTGATACATGGAGTTCTGCAGACGGAGAACAGCACAGAAATATGACTAGATATTTGTCCACCGAGTTGTGGACTTCATGGTCACAATGGTAAATTAGAATATGAGTATTTCACACAATTTTACACAAAGGATGGGACTCATTTCCTTTCATTCAAATAAAACCAGCTCCTCCTCTGAATTCCTGTTTCTGTGAGTTGCACCGTCTTATTCTAAGCTGTCCATGTTAGACACCTGGCTTCATCCTAGGTATCACCTCTGTCCCCCTCAGCCGCACCAGACCTCAGAGAAGGCATGAAAACATGTTAGGTGTGGCATTGTTCATGTTGTTCTATTACACATTTCCTTGGGTCTCAATTCACCGAGAATCCTGGAATAGAAGGAAAGCAGAACTAACCTGCTCTGATAACGTCCAAGTTCCATTGGGTGGAACATGGAATAAGCCAACGTTTGCAATATGAAAATCTTAATTTCACAGCCTATCTTTAGATGTGGCGCTGACAGTGTGACTCTCTGTGCTGACTATGCACTAGACAGTGAACTCGCGCTTGCACTTAAGCTGAGCCTTGAAGAAATCCAGTGGGCTGGAAAAAAAATGTTTCCCACAATATATACATAGAAATATATGCAGATGTGAGTATATATGTTTAGAATGTAAATCACAGAAACAGTCAACGCTGTCATCATTTCTGAGTAGTGATTCCGAGGGGGAAAAAATAAAGCCCTTTCTTTTATTAACAAAATACTCCACATATACATAAATTAAGACTATAATTTCATCTTCAGTGCTTGGGTTGTAATTAATTGCTCCTATTTTGCAGATTTATGACAGTAGAGCTTGTCATTGAAATGAAAACTGCATCGTGTATATAGCAGGAGCACATCATTTTCCACGGCTGTAGAACACACCACTTCAGCCTCCCGCTGAAGATCAAAATTACCTTGGATGTCATTCTGCATGTGGATTTCTCAAGACAAAGCTTTCAGCTTTCAGGACCACAAACACTGCATGCATTCTGGGTTATTTCAAGTTCAGGATTATGATGAAATGGTTTTAAGTTTGTAACCTACCCGACAAAGCGATGTGTCCTTCAATTCATTAGCCACAAGGTAATGTCTACAGTGCTATTCCCTGGGGTAGTTTGAAGCAGGAAGGTACCTGGGTGCTTGTATTAATCAAAATTAAGAACATATGAGGAAAATGTATGGTGGGTTTGCACCAGAGAACACGTACCATCACAGGCTGCTTTAGTAATTGCTTTTGCAGCATTCTTCTGAATGTCAGGAATTGTGGAGTTTTCTGCAAAGGAGAGTAGTTTTTTAAGGCCTCCTGTCTGCTGCATCAGCACCACTGTCTCCATATCCTCCAGGCAATTGGCTATCACCAAAAGTGCTTCTACATGAAGGTCATTCAACTCCTAATAATGAAACAAGCACAAATGGAAAGCTGTCCTCTTAGTTACTTTACAACAAAATACTGCAGCAACACACTGGACCAAAGTAACTGGAAGGAGAAAGTTTAAGGTTCCCTGGAGTCACTATCGATCCTCGCCAGGAAGGCACCAGCAGGACAGGGAGGCCGGCCTGGCCCATGCACCACAGCAGGAGTGGGAAGTGGGGCTGGGCTACACAATGCCAAGGACCACCCTCAGGTACCCACTTCCTCATCATAGCTCCACCTCCTAAAGGCTCCACTACCTTCCCAAACAGCTGAGGACCAAGCATTCAAACACATGCATCTATGGGGGGAGGGGGCACCTCACCTTCAAACTATAAGCATTTTGTTAAAAAAATAAAACAAACAAAAAAACCTACTCTTCAAATTCACTCTGAGAGGAAGTGGGATCCTCAGATCATAATGTGATTAATTTTGTGTGGACAGAGGGTTTGCTTACCGAAGTCACATCTCCAACCGTTTGCCTCATCTTTTTATTTCTCTTACTCCAAAATATGTCATGGATAAAAAGTAGAGGAAACAGCCAGTGATGACAGTCAATTGAAATTGCTCATGTACTCTACTGAACACAAATCTAAAATCCTCAGGGAAAAAACATAGATTTGGAACAGGGCAGATGGTGAAGGTAAACATGGTTCCTAGAATCTAGCAAGTGGTAGAACAAAGTGGTATGAGCCTGTGACTTTCTTACAGGAAGAGCCACACCAATTCCCACAGCAGTGTAAACCTGTGGTCTTCCTCAGACAGCTGGGAATTGCAGTCCTAAAATGAAAGAGGTGGTCTGCTGTTGTGATGCTCCATTCACATCACCTCTGACGAAGGACTTCATGTCACTGCCGTGAGGGGCCCATACTCATGGAAGTCCCTGGTCCTACCAGGCCTGCTACCTACCATCCCAAAGCAAGTAGATTGGTAGAATTCTGGAATAGTTTTCTGAAGACTCAGTTATAGCAACTGCAAGGTGCTTGTCTTCTACAAGGCTGTAAAAGCTTTGACTCAGTATCTGAAACATGGTCTTATTTCTCCCTTGGTTAGGACTCGCTGGTCCAAGCAGGGCAGTGGAGTGGCCCCTCCCACATTGCACATAATGACACCCTGGCAAGGCTTTGCTTCTTTGTCTGAAACTTAAGACTTCCCTGATCCAGAAATCTTAATTCCAAACATTGCCATCAAGAGACACAACACACGATTCCATTGAACTGGAGGTTAGGACTGCCACCTGCTATTTTGGGCTCCCTGTGCCTCAAATCAACAAGCTAAGAAAAGCATTACTGTGTAAGGGGAAGTTGGACTGCCCGTGCCAAGAATGAGTGTGCTTAGAAAATGAGATCTTTTAGTGTGGCTCTTGGTGTTACCACACTGTGACTGAGGTCAGTGAAGAACAACTGAGTTCCTTCAAAGTCTGTAATGAATAAGCAGGTGCTGTGCTGCATGCCTGTAATCCCAGCACATGAGAGGCAGAGGCAGGAGGATTAGGAATATGTGGCAGGTAGTGGAAAAGAGCAATGGTGAATGGCAGTTGTGACCATGTGACCAGTTATAGATACGAACATGTAATTGCCATGCGTGTTTCTTCTGCATTTTGCTGAGTGCTTGTGTGCATGTCTGTTTGCATATAGATTCATATACTTTAAATATATAACTTAGATTTCCCTGTTTGTCCTCTTATAGCTTGAGATGTTAGTTTTGATTAATTTACATCATAGTATTTAGGTTCTGGAAGGTTAAGCAGAAGAGCAAATATCACCCAAAGACTTTGTACCTATTCTAGGGAAAAGTTTGGTGCCTTTTCTGATGGATGCAGGAGAGTTGTATTGTGTTGGATGCATGGATGACTTTGTCCTTGTTTTTATTTAAAGAGTAAATAGGGCTGGAGAGATGGCTAAGTGGTTAAGCACGCTGACTGCTCTTGTAGAAGACCCAGGTTCCGTTCCCAGCAACCACATGGCCTCTGCCAAGTGTCCATTAACTCCAGTTCCAGGGGATCTGGCACCCTCTTCTGACCTTTGGCAGTATTGCATAACATAGGTGTACCTACATACATGCAAGCAATACACTCATACACATAAAATAAAATAATAATAAATAAAATATTTTTTAAAAAGAGTAAATATGATTTAAAGAGCTATAGATGGCTACCAAATCAACAAAATGTAGACTTACAACGGTTAACTTTTATATACAAACTCGGTCAGAACACAGTGTCAGATACTTAGTCTGACGTTGTTCTTGATATTTGTGGAGAGATGTTTAATTTAGATGTTAATGATAATTAAATTAAGTAGACTTTTGGTAAAGTAAATTATTCTCCATAATGTGGGTGAAACTCCTCTACTTAATTGATGGCCTTAAAAGACTTTTCTGGGAAGAGGAAATTCTGCTGCTAGCTGGTCTTCACACTCACCATGGACCTCAGCGTTGCTCTGTGTCTCTAGGTCTCCAGATTGCTGGCTTGCCCTGCTGATTTTGGACTTGCCACACTGCCACAATTGAGTGAGAAAATACCTAAGGACCTGTTTGTCTGGGTGACCTCTAACTATGTATGCAGGGAGAAGCCCCCAGAGAAGCCATGGACTAGAGAGTAATGTGCCTATCCTCGAAGGGCAGATTAGGTGATTCTTGTTATCTACTGCCTGCCAAGTAGTGCACATTCCTCAGCCCATGTGCAACTCAGCTGCACAAAGCTAAGGCCATCAGAGGTCAGAGCCTATGTTGGATAGCTTCCGTTGTCAACTTGACACACCAGGGAAGAGGGAACCTCAATTGAGGAATTTCCTCTATTGAACTGGCCTGTGCCCATGTCTGTGAGGCATTTTCTTGATTGCTGAGTGATGTGGGAGGGCCCAGCCCACTGTGGGCAATGCCACCCCTGGGCAGGTGGGCCTGTGTGATGTAAGAAAGCAAGTTGAGCACAGGCTAGAGGAACAAGCCAGTAACCAGTGTTCCTCCATGGTCCGTGCTTCAGCTCCTACCCCCAGGTTCTTCCCCTCAATTGCTGCCCTGGCTTCCTTTGATGAAGAACTATACTACAAGATTAACTAAGCCCTTTCCTCGCCAAGTTAGTTTTAGTCAATGCTTTTACCAAAGCAATAGGAAAAAATAGGACAGAACCTGGGACTAATAATTGAGCTACAAATTAAAAGTAGAAAATACCCAAAAGCAGGGAGACCAGAGAGGAAAGGTAAACCCCATGTCTAAAGCTAAAAGTCTTCATCAATCCATGGCTGAATCCAAACTACAGAAGCCCTGGGAGACCCCAGAAGGTCAAGCTGAAAACAACAGCCACTAAAACCTGAGGAGCTGAATAGATCTAGCAGCTGTGCCTCCCTCCCCTCAGGAGAAGCAACATTTACAGCTGTCTACTAGGACAAAAGGGCAGCAGACCTCAGTTCCACAGAATCTGGAAACGCTGGGACCATTGTCCATTGCTCTGAGCCAAAAACTACGAGACATGCAAAAAACCAGGCTTGTGATTCAAATTCAGGAAACACAAGGCCGCCAATAACCCCCCCCCCCCCGCCCACAGAGTCTGATCTTAGATTCTGCAGTCAAAGACTTTAAAGCAGATATTCTAAACATGTTCAAAGATCAACAGAGACATGAAACTTCAAAACTAAAAATTCAAGACTGGAGAGAATAGGATAGATGGTTCAGTCAATAAAGTGCTTGCTGGGAAGCATGAAGCCCTAAGTTCAGATCCCCAGCACCTAAGTAAAATCCCTGGGCATGGTCTCAAGTAACTGCAATCCCAGCCGTGGGGGAGGTAGAGACAGGAGGATCCTGGTGCTCAATGGCCAGCTAGCCTAGCCAATCAGTGAACTCCAAGTTCAGTGAGAGACCATGTCTCCAAAAATAAGGTGGAGAAACAAGTGAGGAAAGCACTCAACATCACCTCTGTCCTACACACACCACCACACACACACACACACACACACACACACAGATACCACCACTACCACCCACAAACATACATTATCACCACACACACACACACACATAAACCATATACACACACAGAGATACCACCACTACCACCCACAAACACACACACACACACAGATATCACTACTACCCACAAACATACATATCACCACACACACACACATATACACCATATACACACACACAGAGATACCACCACTACCACCCACAAACATACATATTACCACACACACACACACACACATATATACCATATACACACACAGAGAGATACCACCACTACCACCCACAAACACACACACACACACACACACACATGCACGCGCGCACACACACACCCCACATGCACATGACTTGAAAAGCACAAAATGAAAAGTAAAAATTCACTAGATGGACTTAACATCAGATTAAAACTCATAAAGGAATGAGAGAACTTGAATATAAATCAAAAGAAATTATTTATTCAAAAAGAAAGTTAAAGAAAAATAAGCATTGACATAGCGAGCTCCAGGCCAGCTGGGGCTACAGGGAGACCCTGTCTCAAAAAAAAATTTGAAAAAAAAGAGAGAGAAAAGAATAAAAAAGAGCAGAGCAGAGCCACAGTGTCTTATAAAATCGCACCAATCAGGGTGACACACAGGTAATTGAGTCTGGAAGGGAAAGAAGGAACACAAAAATCTGAATAAATGACTGAACTTGCCATATTTGCTGGAAAACATTAACTTAGAGATTTAAATGTTCACAGATCCTGGGCAGGGCACAAAAATTAAGCAATTTCTATGAAGAGGAGAAATGCAGAAAAACAAAGATGAGAAAAATCTCAAAAGCAGCCAAAGAAGAGAAACACATTACAATCAAGGAAATAATGTTGAATTAATGGTTAAACTGTCATCAGAAATAATAGCATTGAGAAGAAATACCAAAATGCTGAAACAGAAAAAAGTGATAAACTAGAAACTTCGTATTAATCAAAAACTAAAAGTGAAAATACATTTTCAGATAAATTTACAACCTGAGATAATCCAGGCTAGGGGTGTAGCTCGGGAAGTGGGTGTTTGCCTAGGTTCCTCCCTAGTATCACAAGAAACCAAACAACAAAATCTGAACGAACAAAAACTGAGGTGGGGGCTGGAGAGATGGCTCAGCTGTTAAGAACACTGGCTGCTCTTGCAGAGGACCTGGGTTGAGTTCCCAGCACCCACATGAAGGCTAATAACCACCAGTAACTCTGGTTCCAGGATATCCGACGCCCTCTGCTGGCCTCTTCTTGGATTGCATGCATGGATATATTTACATACATTCAGGCAAAACACTCATACACATAAAGTTGAAATAAATTTTTGAAAAACCCTGAGGTAATTATGTTAGCACATCTGTACTATAAGAAATACCAAATCTGGGGCTGGAAAGATGGCTCAGTGGTTAAGAGCACTGGCTGCTCTTGCAGAGGACCCAGGTTTGATTCCCAGCACCCATATGTAACTCCAGTTCCAGGGGAATCTGATGTCCTCTTCTGACCTACGTGGGCATTGCATGATAGGGGTATACTTACATAAATGCAGGTGATACACCATACACATAAAATAAAAATAATAATTTTTAAAGAACACCAAATCAAAGCTTTAAGGTTGAAAAGTAAAGAAAAATGACTTAGTTAACAATTCAGATTTCTAGGCAGAAATGATCATCGGAAATGGTAAATTTGCGAGTAGATACAAAAAGCTAAAATGAGTGACTAAATTCTATATGCACAGAGTATAAATTTTCCTTTCTTCATTTCTTTAAAATCTTTATAATATAGGAGTGTTTAAGACAAAAGATAATTATGTTGAATTGTTAGGCTTATAATGTGTATAGATGTAAAATATATAGCAGCAGTCTTTAGAATGGGAAATTAAGTAAAAATATATTGTTACATGGTTCCAATATTTTGCTTCAAGTAATTTGATACAACTCTAAGTAGACTGGGATAAGGTTGAGTTGCATAATGCAATCATTAGAGCAATCCTGAGTGCAAAGAGAAACAGCATGTAAGCCAAGGAGAGGGGGAAATGTAACACTAAAAATTAAGAACACAGGGATGAAACAATAGCCCAGACAAAAAGGAATGAATGCCATGGCTAACTATAACCAAATCAATAAGTCATATGAGAACTTACTGGAAACCCTAATTCAAAAGGCAATTTGGTAGAAAATGACATTAAAATTGTGTGTTCCATTCCATAGACATGATATAGTTCTCTATGTAAGTCTTCCTTAAAACTGTTTTGCATATTTTGGTGAATAGATTTTGCACAAATTTTGATCATTTAATTCTTTGTAGTTATACATTAAGCACATATTGTAGGACGTAAGGACATCAGTAAGGTGATTGCATGAGGACCAACTTCAGATCCTCAGCACCATGGGCTTGTACTTTCTACACGGGAGGCCGAGACAGGGGGATCACTGGGGCCAACCAGTCTAGCCAAATCGGTGAGCTCCAGGTTCAGTGAGACACACTATTTCAAAAAATAAAGTGGAGAGTGATTGAGGAAGACACCTGATGTCGACTTCTGGCCTCCACACACATAGATACACATACATGCATACAGATCTGCACACACATAGGAGCATGTAAACATACATACACATCCAAAATACTGTAACTGGAATTGTATTTATTTTCCTTTTTATTGTTCATCATCAACATATAGGAAAATTATTTCTGTGAACGAATTTTATCCCATGACCTTGATAAAACTACTTAACAGTTCAAGTTGAATTTCCTATTCTCTTTGGATTGTCTGTCTACACAGCATTGTAATCTATGACAATTCAGTTTTATTTCTTTCAAGTTTAGCAGTTTCTGGAAAATGTTTTATTTTTCATTTTATTTTATATGTATGAGTGTATTGCCTGCATGTGATACCTGCATGGGTGTAAGTGCACCCGTGTCCTGAAATGCCTGTGGGGGTCAGAAATGGGCATTGGATTCTCCTGGGACTGGAGTTACGGACAGTTGTTAGCCACCATGTGGGTGCTGGGAATTGAACCCAGGTCCCCTACAAGAGCAGTCAGTGCTCTGAGCCATCTGTCCCATCTGGTAGCTTCTTAAACCTTCTTTTGGTCTCAGCCTCATTACCCTGGTGAGGAGCCGAGGACAACGGGGGAAGAGAAAAGAGCGACCCTCTGCCTTGTGTCCCAGTCTGGGTAGAGAAGGGGGAGGGACTTTATATTTCACTGTGTATATTTGAGAATTATTTGAAATTTTGCAACTTAAATACATGTATTAATTCTGAAAAAAATCCATCTTATGTATTTGCTGGTTCTGTGACTTTAGGCAATTTATTTAGCCTGTCAACGTCTTGTTCTCATCTGTAAAATGGGATTAATGATACAATTATATATGATATGAAATATAAATTATGTGTATAATTATATCATTATATGTGATAATTATATATAGTATACATTATACACAGCATATAGAGATGGATATATACATTACACACCATACCTAATTATCATGTATAATTATGGAAGCACATATACTATGCCTATATCATGGTAAGAAGACAGGAAACACCACTGTGGTGCAGAAAGGCAAGGCTGTGTTCATCTCTGTGGCTAATCACTTTCTACCTGCGGGCCATAGGACAAACCAACCTTTCTAATTTTCAGATTCCATTTGAAAAAAAAATGTGATAAAATAACAGGTCTGTAGCACTGTTAAATTTCTACACCACGTGTATAATGCCTGACACAGAATCTATGTACAAGGCATTGTGGGATCAGAGGTGGCTAGATTAACGTGGCTGGGTTAACGTGGCTGGATTAATATGGATGGATTAATGTGGCTGGATTAACGTGGCTAGGGAACGTGCCTTTGCTAGGACTGCTCTTTTGTATTTTACTTTATTTTCTCAAGTCAGTGGCAACTTCTGAGGTTTGTAATTTTTAGAAGAAAATCTAATAATTGGTTACTGTGAAACTAATCTTAAACTATTCCTCAGGAAGCCTTTACAGTCCTTGACTGATGCTATCTCTTGATTTTCTAAAAGACGCTGTGGATGTTTATCATTAGAGCCATTTAATGTAGTGTATTAAAGTGGAGACAGCAAAGCTGAAGAACACACATTAGCATTTGGTTCTGGTGTTTCAGAACATCTAAAATCTGAAGCCTCTACAGTCTGCTTTAAACAGCCTGGTAAACTTTACACAGCAAGTGGATTAATTGTTTCTGCAAACTTTGCTTTTACAACATTCGTATTTTATAACACTCAGGAGAGAGACATTGCCCACAGGGGCTGAGTGAATGGAATGTTGTGGGTACCTTGGTCTCTAGGATCTTAGTCAGCTGGTCCAGGCCTTGATTCTCCTTCAGCATCACCCGAGACTCCTTATCACTTGTGATAACCCCTAAGGTTTTAAGAGCCAGCAACTGAATAATTGGGTATTCTGACTTCAGGAGCTCTAGTATTGGAGGAATTGCATTCAGTTCTTGAAATGCAGTTCGACACTGAAAATCCTGCCACAAAATACAAATGATCACATCAGTAATTTTTACAACAAAATGCAGCCTCAAGAATGGAAGCCAGAGAACACTGCTCTGTTATAATTTCCCATCTTTGATTTCAGATTCCAAAATAACTCACAGACAAAAAACCCTCTTAATTGACAATACCAAAATATTCATTTGAACCATGTAGATGTCAACAAGAAATAAACATCATCTATGACTTGCAGTGTTTACTATGCAACACATCCCTATAAACAGCATCATAATCAAATCTATGCATAACAAAATTCTTCTCACACTGATGTACTATTTCAAATAGTGTTTATTAAAATCATAGCATCGATTCCTTGTCTTCAAAGGGATTATTTGTGTAACAGATGTACCCATGAAGTGCTGTAGATAGACCCTGGGTGTGCAAATTTATAGCAGGTTTTGCTCAGATGCATGACCTTTACTCAAGACGTTTATGATCTCAGAGACTCATTATAGCCATATTTCTGCATGTGAATCAGTTCAGGGAAGGGGTTGTATTGGGCAGTGGAGAAAACACGGCACGATACCATGAAAAACTCGCAAACTCTGACTACTACTAAATCATATTTTGACTCAAATATGATTAATATCAAAGATCATTTAAAGGTGGAAAAGAGGGCTGGAGAGGTGACTCAGTTAGTAGAGGGCTTGCTTGCCACAGCAACACAAGTACTTGAGTTCAGATGCTCAGAAACAGCATAAAAAAGCCCAGATGGCAGCATGCCAATCCCCAGGTTCAACATAAATTTTAGATGTCCTGAGTTTTAAATTTTTTAATTTATTTGTGTTTTATGTGTACATGTGTTTTTGCCTGCATTTTTTATTTATTATTTTTATATGTATGAGTGTATTGCCTGCATGTAGGTGCAAGTGCACCCGTGTCGTGCAATGCCGCAGAGGACAGAAGAGACTGTCGGATCCCCTAGAATTGGAGTTATGGACAGTTGTTAGCTGTCATGTGGGTGCTGGGATTCAAACCTGGGTCTTCTGCAAGAACATTCAGTGTTCTTAACCACTGAGCCATGTCTCTAGCCCCTTTGCCTACATATATGTAAGTGCACCCATGTCATACAATGCCTGTGGAGGCCAGAATAGGATGTTGGCGCCCCTGAAACTGGAGTTAAGGCTGTTTGTGAGTCACCATATTGGTGCTGGGAAACGAACCTGGGTGCTCTGAAGAGCAGCAGTCAGTGCTCTTATCAGCCAGGCCATCTCTCCAGTCCTAGAGTTTCTGTTCTAAAAGAAGCACATTTGATTCAGGTAAAGTCAACCTTAATCCAAATGCCATTCTCTTCCTTTAAGACAGAAATTCACTTCTAAAATAATTTTCCTGTGGGAGATAATTATTTATAATATGGGAAAACTGAAAGGCAGCTACACATTGTTTTTCTGAGTGATAAATGCTAAATGTACTAAGATCAACAGCTACAAAACCAGTCAGTTGAAAAAAAAAAAACCAAAACTTTCCTTTTTAAATGAGAAAATAAATTCCAGAATTGGCTTTTGCCAAAACATCTTTTTAATGGTGCTGAGGATAAAACATAGGACCTCCTGTATGCTAGGCAAGAGCTGCTCTACCGCTGAGCAGCCTCCCCAGCCATCTCAATACTGTTTAGAAGATAACCTTACCTGTACCAAGTTGTAGATGCATTCAATAGAATTCTTCTTCACATCCGGGTCTGGGCTACTCAGTAGTCTGACAAGTGGCTCCAATCCTCCATGCTCAAATATTTGTACTTTACCCGTATACTCTACAGACATGTTTGCAAGACAAAGACTGGCAAATTCATGGATTACCACTTCTTCTGTATATCAGAAATAAACAAGACAAGTGTATTAGGTGTTTATTCAACCCCTACTTTATAAGGCTTGAAGCTTGGCATGATGGCGTGTTCTTATGATCCTAGTGACTTGGGAGGCTGGGACAAGAGGTTCAGGAGTTCCAGACCAACCTGTCTCAAAAATGAAAAAGTGTTGTGGATACTGCTCAGTGGTAGAGCACTTGCTGAGCATATATAACACCATGAGTTCAATCTAGAGTCTCTGTCTCTCTCTGTCTCTGACTCTGTCTCTCTCTGTCTCTGTCTCATACCACACACACACACACACACACACACACACACACACACACACGCACAAATAAGCTTTGAAAACAAAGTTTACCTCCACAAATCTTGCTTATAGGCTACTTTTTTGTTGTTGTTTGAGACAATCTCCCTGTAGCCCCAGCTGGCTTGGAATTTGGTATGTAGACCAGGCTAGCCTTGAATTTATAGAGCTCCCATCTGCTTCTGTCTCCTGAGTGCTGGGATTCAAGGCATCTGCCACCATACCTGGCCTACATTCCACTTCCTTATAAAATTAAAATTGAGCTGTAGTTTGTGAGCTTTTAGTGACAAATCACAGTTGGCGGTTTAGAAACTCTTTTCAATATGTAGTTTAATAAAACACAAAAAGAAATCTGTTCCAATTTTGAAATAGATATAAGGTGTGAAGTTACCTTCTGGAGCCAGCTGAGCAATGACGGAATTCATGACATCTAACTCCCTCAGTAGTTTTTTAACGTCACCTGCAAAGGAAGAAATAATATGTGGATGTTTATTAAAATAATAATGGTAGTGTCTACTGAGCGGTCCCTTAAGAGATAGGTATTTCGGTTTAATTTCATGGATGAGGAAATTGAGAAGTAAAAACCATGCAACAAGGAAGTAACAGAGCCAGCTTTCACGTCCAGGCCATTTCCGCCCACCCGGACTCCATCCAGCCTCTGCTGCCTGATCAACACTAAGAATGGTAAAGGCAAAAGTGCCAGTGTAGCTAGAACACAGCACCAGTCAGCAGAGCTCTGTGCTCTACATGTTTATTATGTAATGGTAATTTGCCTTGGTGTTTGCTTTACTTGGCATTTAAAAATTTTTTGATTTTAATACTCTTGTGCAGAATACAATTATCTTAACCTATTTTGACAAATACATCCTGATTGCTTACATTTCATTTGATTATTGCAAATGTCTAAACTGCTTAAAGATAAGTACATTGGCTTTTAAAGTTCACTTTTCTATCACTAGGAGCCTGTGGCTAGACAGGTCACAGGCCATAGGGGAGAACCCACTACTATTATTCTGCTAGAGGAGCATAGTATTAAACTGACTCCTAATGACTTACTGTTGTATCTATAGATTAATGCAGCTCTCAACTCTCACTGGAGAAGCTTCCCCATGCAGCAGATGGTGATTAACACAGAGACCCACAATTGACCAACATGAGAGAACAAGAAGCTGCAGAGTGCTTATCCCCGAATAGGACACCTATATCAAACCTCTGCCACTGAGGCTCAGGGATCACCACAGAAAAGGAGGCGGAAAGATTCTAAGAGCCAGAGGTGGTATGTGACCACGAGGAAACAGTTTTCCAGACAGCTGGGCAGTTCATCCTAAGAACTTATAGCAATGATGACAGTGTGCACAAGACCTACGTAAACTCAAGTCAGACAAAACGCCAGCACAGCTGTAGGGATGAGAGTAAGGAAGCCCTGGGGAGCTACTGGCAACCGATGGCTTCTGGAAGGGGGGATTTGGTTTCTTTTAAGGAAGTGGTGCTAGGTAGCTTAACCAGGCTCCAGTGGATGGACCTGCACTGAAGGGCATTTGGGGACACAAATTTGACTCAATAAGCTATATGAGATTGGACGTTGGATAACAACGAGGAGAGGGGGTGCTGATAGCAGAGGGTTCTAAATATGATCAAACTATATTATACAAAATTTGCAAAAGTTCAATAAAAATGAAAAAAGTTCGCTTTTCTATGATTTCTGTCAACCTAATTAAGGCTAGTCAGGAATGTCTCTACTTCTTTCTGGTTACTTTAACTTTAGTTTCCTGATGGGGAAAAATGTCTGTTTCTTTAGTTTGGCAATTCCTCTTTTTTGTGTTTTACCTTTATCTGTAAGCCAGAATTAGCACTGCTGGAATGTTGGGAAAGTTCACTGGAGGGAATAGCTTCCAGCGAATTCTTCTTCCTTATTAATTGCCAAATAGATTTGGCATTTATTGGTCACTTTTTCCTGAGGAATTCTGAGCTGTGGCTTTTCTTCAATGTGTCAAAACTTCTGCTTTCTCTGTTTCTGTTGTAAGAAGCTAAAGATCCAGCAAATGGACAGCTACTGTGTAGGCAACCAGACTTGGGATATAAGATTTCAATGTAAGTGCAGCATCCTTAGGTGGAGAATGACATTTTATGGTCCAACACTCAGGTTTTAAAATGCATTCTCTCTTAGCCCAGTGTGGTGGTACATGTCTTTAATCCCTGCTGAGGCAGGGGCAGGCAGATTTCTGTGGGACTGAGGTCAACCTGGTCTGCATAGCAGGGAGACCAAGTCTCAAAACCAAAACCAAAACAAAACAAAAAACCACCACCACCAACAACAACAAAATGTATTCTCTCCACTGATTGAAAGATAGCAGCCTCAGCATAATGTTCAAATCCTTGCAAGGTTCTGGGAACCAAGTTCCAGTCCCTTTCCAAGCAAATGCTAATCTCCATATGCAGTCAGCACTTCTCAGAACAATTTCTGTGACAATCTATTTCCATATGCTTGAAAAAAGAAAACCCACAAACTAGGCCTTGGATTTTAGATCTTCGACGCTTTTCCCACGTTGTTAAGTAAAACAATTCCCTGTACTTCGAAACTTCCTGTTGAGCCCCTGACTGTGGGGTGGAGCTTGGAGCCCTGCACACTCCCTCTGCTCTTCCTGCTTCCCTGTGTGATGGGCCATGACAGGAAAAGGTTATAGCTGCCCTACCCATTCCTTGTGGTCTCAGGTGACGTCACACCTTGCTCAGCCCAAGCAAGCTAAAAGTCACCAGAGAGTTCCATGCTGTGAGGTTTAGAAATGGCAAGAGATGTGGGAGAACCGCTCTGGCTGGGCCATCCGCTGACGCCCTCTTCCCACCTCAATGGATGATTCCAGTTCATCAGCAGCTCTGTAAACTGGTGACCCAGTTGATGGATTTGTTATTCTGCTTTTTGACACCAGATTGTTCGAAGGCTCTCTCTTTTCTTGAAGTTAAGTCAACAAAAAATGGGCAAGCTGCTGCTTCCAGCACTCTAAACATAATATTGACCTCTGTCCTCTTCTACAGGGAGTACTCTCATACGTGGTAACAAGATGGAGACTGGAATGTGCTGGGGCCAGGTGAACAGGTTCTGACTAAACAGGGTGCCACCTGCAATTGCTGGTTGAGGCAGATCTGTCAGCAACTTTAACACTTGCTATAACTTCAATAAATCTGTGTTTTTTAAGACAGTCTTACTATGCAGCCCAGGCAGACCTGAAACTCACAGCAATCCTCCTGCCTCAGCCTCCTCAGTACTGATATTACAGTTGTGCACCAGTGCATCTGGGTTGATGTCATTCTTAATCACCATGTCTTGGTTTGACTATCTAATTCATTCCTGACCTTCCATCATTTTAGATCACCATCTTCAGATGGCTGTGAGTGACCTAAAGTCTGGGCTTCAAGGTTACCTGTCCAAAGATTCTGACCAACTTTCTTTAGCTGACTTCCTTCAATGAGAGTCTGTTTTGTGGTTTTGCTGAACAAAATACAAAGTAACAGGTGAAAGAAGACAGCAGCAGCTCCATTTTGGTAAAGAAAAGACCGAGTAGAGTAATTTAAATGCCTGTCTTGAATTATCCCAGTTTGACACAGGCACATAGCTCAGTAATTTTCCTGAAGAAGAGGGAAAAAACATAAGGAAGAGGAGGAGGAAAAAGAGGAGGAGGAGGATGACGAGGAAGAGGAGGAGGAGCAGGAGGAGGAGAGGGTTCAACTGTAAAAGGGAAAGCTGGCTACCACAGGAACAGTTTCAGCACCCAGCATTTGTTGAAGCACCAATGCATCCATCTGAACACAGTGGTATCGCCGAGTATGAAAACTGTGTTTCTAAAGAAGCATCCGCTATTTTCAGACATGCAAAGGATGATCTAACTTTGTAGGTGAAGAGTTGCATTCATTTACAGATTAGTCTGGAAACATGATTATTCCATAGGATAGAACAACTAGTTGCTCATCTTTTATCTGAGTTTTCTAGGGCGTATATAAAAGCGAAGCAATAGCTGTGAATATGTGGATCCTGTTAAGAAAGAACTTCACAAGCAGTTAGGGATGCCATATATTTTACCCATATGGTCAGATACTTCAAACACAAAGCCATCCAGTTGATTCAAATATGTTTCCCCATCTAATGCAAAAGAAAGCTTTTTGTTATATAATCATCACTTATCACTCCAGACATGTATTTGCATCTATTCATCATTACTCATCAGACCAGAGCCAAGTGCTCACTGAGACTTGAAGGCAGCAATTGGGTAAGCAGACGGTGCCTCCTCTAGCACTGAATTAAACCCATCCAGGCAGCTTACAGAGTAGGGTCTGTGAGGTCCCAGAGAGCCCCTCACTTTGCATCCAAATGTGGAACAATACTATCAGGTCGTAGACTCCTCTAGGAAATCTTATGATTCAGTTTATTCAGCCTGAGCTGAGAATTTTCACCAATAATTTGGAGACTTTCATAGTTTATATTCTAGGAGATGGTAAATGAAGGAATAAATAAATAAATAAAGCAAATAATAGAAATTAAGAACAAAAGAAAACAGGAAAAAAGTCATGCAGATATAAATATGAAATAAGAAAATTAGAAAGTGGAAGTATCTGTGTGTATCACACATTGTCTAGAGAAATGTTCAGGTGGACAGACAGGGAGGAAAGAATTACTGTTAGGCCATTGTAAGAGGCAAATTCTGATGATTGTAGGCACATGCTATAATAGAGACACACAGGTTTATTCCTAGTCCCTTGTTTCATGGTTGAATTCAGTCTATATTAAGAATGTCATTGAAGCTTTTTGCAAATTACAAAGCTTTTGTTGGTTGGCTCAAAAACTACCTGGAGAATGGCTCAGTGGTTAAGAACACTCGCTGCTTTTGCAAAGGACCCTGGTTCGTTCCCAGAACCCACACCAGGTAGCTCATAACCACATATAACTCCAGTTCTGGGGAAATCTAATACCCACTCTGGTCTCTTAAGGCACCTGCGTGCATGTGGCATACATATATACACTCAGATGCACACTCAGACATACACATGCACATAAAACAAATAAATCTTTAAAAACAAGCAAATTGCCCTTAAAACACAGAGAGATGACTTATGGGCAGACAAATATAACTAGCCTGCTCACAAGTCAGAGACTACCACTGTTGGCATGATTTTACCAACCTGCTATTCCAATGACCAGAGAGCGCATTTCAACTAATACTTTTTTAAAAAATTTATTTTATTTTATGTGTATGTGTGTATTGCCTGCATGTAGGTAAGTGCACCCGTACCATGTAATGCCCACGGAGGACAGAAGGGGTTGTTAGATCCCCTGGAACTGGAGTTACAGACAGTTGTTAGCTGCCTTGTGGGTGCTGGGATTCGAACCTGGGTCTTCCGCAAGAACAGTCAGTGGTCTTAACTGCTGAGCCATCTCTTTAGCCCCTCAACTAATAACTTTATACCTCAGTCTCAAATCTATGAAAATACTCTAGTCAAGTGATAGGTCTGATTTAGGAGTAAGTATATACAACTAAATTTCTTTTATACAAGCAGTACTTGGTAGTTTCAGAAAAAAAAAAATCAGTGTATGAAAACTCTACTCTGGTCCATCCACTACAGAGTATGTTGAGGTGTGACTGAGATGCAGATGGGCAAATTGCACTATATTAATGAAAAAAATCATCTTAGGAGATAATGATTTCTTTCCTAGCTTGTTAGACTAGAACATTCATCCCCAACATTAGTTTTTGTATATACTGATCTCTGCAAGAGCACCCAACACTCTTAACCCGAGTCATCTCTCCAGCCCCATATTTTTGTGTTTGAAAAAGACCCCTAAATATGAGGTCATTTGTTACATTGTACCGACTTAAGCTTTGTGTTGACATTAAAGTCAGTTTAAATAAAATTTAGACAAATACTTTAAAGGTAAATATGAGAGAAGGGATCTGTTCCTTTCCAAAGTTGCCACTCACTGTTGGAAGCCAGGATCCCGAAGATCATGGTGGCATTTCTCCGTACGATTTTGTCTTCATGGGTGAGCAGTTTGGTCAAAGGCTCCACAGCTCCCAGTTGAAGGAGGGTCGCTTTGTTTTCCTCACCTGCCAGCACAGGTTGAACAGAACATTCTATCACCTTCGGTCTCACTGAGCTGTGTCGTCCGGTTTCTCTGTTCCCACTTCCCTTGGCTCTCAGAACCTTGGCTCCTGGTACAGCTCTCTCCTCCCCATCGTTTGCAATGGCTTCATCTCGTCCTCAGCCCTGAGCTCACACTACACAGGCTCCAAGGGTGTCTGCTGATCGCCCTAGTGTTGCCACCTCACCCCAGCCCTTCTTGTGGCTCCTGATTTTGCTTAACTTTCATTCTACTTGATGACTGTGTTTTGCATACCTGCACACTGTGGCTGGCCTTCCCAGAAGGGCAAATGCTCTTGTCCTATTCTTTTATTATTGGTGCTAACACAGTGCTAAGTCATGTAATAGGTACTCAATAAACACTTATGAAACTATAAAAGTGATTGATAGGCACAGTTCCTGTTTCAAGTTAAAGTGTGGTCAGTGTTTGGGGGCAGGGCTCATTTCTCATCAATGAGGTTACAGCTTCTTCAGGGTTTCTGTCTTTACTGTAATAAAAATACCCAAAAACAATTCCGGGAGAAAGGGTTTATTTGGCTCAGAGTTCGAGGTTACAGTTCATCAGAGCAGCAGAGCTGGAAGGAACTAACTGCACTGCATCCACAGTCAAGAGCCCTGTTCCGCTTCCTGTTACCACTCACGAGGTTAGGGAACCTGCCGCATGGGGAATGGAGCCACCCACAGCTCAATTCACATAACCAAGACAATAGCCACCACAGCCACACAAGATGAGCCCGCGGGCAACATGGAGGTGCACACAGTGCAGCCAACCCAGGGCTAGGTGCACTGCTGCCCATCCCGGGATCACTGGATACCCCAGCTGTGGCATGAAGCCCCAAAAGAAGTTCAGTGAGGCCAGGGGCTACGCTAACAGAAGCAGCTTATCCCTCTTCTTTTGACTAGGATACCATGCTGTGAAGTTTAGAATAATGTTTGAGTCCTAATTCATTTCAGTTCTTCAATTTCACTGGGTTATGAAAACACAAATTTCATTTTCAAAATTCATTTTGCAGTATAATAAAGCTATTTTAACTCCTTTTGCTTAATGTCATATAACAGGTTTTTATATTTTAAGTAATTGGTTTATGTTCTGAAAACACAAATCTGAAAATGTAGAATGTCTGTCTTCCTCTAGCCCATGAACTACATTTTACCTAAATGGTCAGATCTACTACTTGATACCACTGGAAGCCAGGTGTGGTGGCACCCACCTTTAATCCCAGCACTTGGGAGGCAGAGGGAGGTAGATCTCTGTGAGACTGAGGCCAGTCTAGTGTACATATTGAGTTCCAGGCCAGCTGGGGCTACAGGAAGACCCTGTCTCAAAAATTAAACAAAACAATGTTGAAATATATATTGTTGAATAACATACACTTCATAAATTGTAATATTTACATTTTACTCAAGTTGCAAAGTTAATTTCTCAAAATTTTATAATTAGAAGAATATTTTGCCATACAATCTTTAAGATAAAATTCAAGATACCTATGTTTAAATCAAAATACATATCAGATTTTTATAAAATCATATTTTTATTATTTATTTTTATTTTATGTGTTATGCCTGCATGTATGTAAGTACACCCATGTCATGCAGTGCCTTCAGAGGACAGGAGAGGGTGTCAGATCCCCTGGAACTGGAGTTACAGATGATTGTTGGCCACCATGTCGGTGCTGGGATTCTAACCTGGGTCTTCCGCAGGAACAGTCAGTCCTCTTAACCGTTGGGCCATCTCTCCAGTTCCCAAATCATCTTCAACTTTTCATCTGAGACTTTCACAATATAATTAGTTCTTTCTTTATTCAAAAACATGCATCACCATTTTTTAAGTGATGAGATGCATTCTCATTGCAAGACAGGGTGAAATAATTTAAAATTTTAGCCATTCTAATAAGTATGTAGTGATATTTCACTGCTGTTTTACTTTTTATATGCTTATTTATATTGTATATCTTTGGGGGGCTGGGTATGTGCTTATATGTAATGAAGTCTAATTTGTTGATTATTCTTTTATGAGTGAGTTTTGCTGTTGGCAACTTTTGATTTTGTTTTGGGGTGGTTCTCACCATGTAGCCCAGGTTGGCCTTGAACTCATGGTCCACTTATCCCAGCTTCAAGAGTGCTGGGGTTGGAGGTGTGCACTTTCACTTTGCATATTATTGTCAAATTTTTCATTGCTTTAGAACAAATTTTTAAATTATTTTTATGTGTGTGTAACATACATATGCATGGATTAGTTATTTTTCTGTTGCTGCGATAACACCAAAACACCATAACCAAAGGCAACTTAAGGAAGAGTTTATGTTGACTTACAGGACTAGATGCCCACAATGTCAGGGACGGCACTGTGACAGGAGCAGGCAGCTGTCAGATCACATCTTGACCACACACACAACAGAAATCATGAACTGGAAGTGAAGTGAGGCTATAAACTGTCAAAGCCTAGACCCGGTGACATACTTCCTCCAGTAAGGCCTAAAGGTTCCACAGCCCCATAAGCAGCACCACCAACTGGGGGCCAACTGGGGGGACAAGTGCTTAAATGCAAGGGCCTATGGGCGGGCGTTTTTTATTCAAGCATCCACAACACACATGGGTGGGTGTGTGCCGTGTGTGAAGGTCAGAACAGCTTTGTGGAGTCAGTTCTCCCTATGCACTTTCACTTGGGTTCCAGGAACCAAATTCCGGTCACCAGGCCCGAGCAAGCGCCTTTCCTGGCTAAGCCACTTCACAGGCCCTAGAACCAGTTATTGGGGAAAAAAAAAAATCAAACTGTTTTTTTCTTCACTGAATTACCTTTATCCTTTTGCAAAAATAAAATCTAAATTTATGTAAGACTATTGCTTGAGTCTCTGTTCTGTATCTGGTTTCCATTAATCTGTTTGTTTTTGTGAGAATAATCTTGTGTTAGGTGGTATAAGCCCTCTAACTTTGTTGTCCTTTCACAGTTATTTTAATTTACTAAGTCATTTGCACTTCTACATGAATTTTAGACTCAGTGGGACAGTTTTTGTTTTGTGAAAGGCTGCTGAGGTTGTATTGAATCTATAGATCAAATATCAATTTGAGGAACCCCGACAGCTTAATAACTGGTACCCTTCACACCACGAATGCGAGATGTCTTTCCAATCATTTGAATCTTCAGTTTTCTCTGGCAATATTTCATAGTTTTCAGCGTACGTTCTTAGATATCTTTTGTTATATTTATCCCTACACATTTCAGAATTTTTGATGCTGTTATAAATAGGATTTTTTCACATGAACTTCTGCTTGTTCACTGCTAGTCTGTAGAGGGTCAACTGAATGTATTGATTTTGTACTCTGCAATCTTGCTCATTTGTTAGCTCTGGCAGCTTTTTTGTATAATCAATAGGATTTTTCTATCATGAAAACTAATGGTCTACGTAGATAACTTTATGTCTATGAAGGTGTTTCTGAACTAAATTAGCATATACTCAGTAAAGAAAATCCATTCTCACCAACAGAAGAGGGCTACTCTGAGCTTGCTGAAGCCTGGAGCGTCCATCCACCTGCCTTGGTTCCCCAGGCTGTCACACGAGTGCTTCAGATTTCAGGCATTTGGATATCACTGAAGGATGCCTAGCTTTCCTGGTTGTCCGGCCTGCAGATGTCACATTGTGGAGGGGGCTTCTTGGCTTCCACAATCAAATGACCGGTTCCCATGATGAACATCCTTTTATGTCTACGTCTCTGTAAATCCTGTTCATTTCTCTACAGAACCCTGGCCAGTTAAAGACCATGCCATCTATAAAGTAAATACAGGTCTACTTTTAAAAATTGGATACCATTTATTTATTTGATTGCAATGGCTACATATTCCCACAACGCAAAGCAGAAAGAAGCCGTAGGGGTGGACATCCTTCCCTTGCTCCCAATTGTAGGAAGAAAACATATTTTTTAACCATGATATGTTATGTCAATCATGGGTCTTTCATAGATGCTCCTTTTCAAGGTGAGGACAGTTGCATGTATTCCTGCTTTGAAAGACATATTATTAGGTGCAGATATTGAATCACATAAAAAGAAATGTTTTGAATGATCATGTTTTCTTTTGTCTTTCAAATATGGTTTATTAGTTTTCTATAGCTGCTGTAATAAGTTCCACAAGCTCAGCACTGAAGACGATGGGACTTTTTTGTTTTATGGTTTGAAAGAAGTCTGAAATTGGACTCTATAGATAAAAATCAAAGTGTTGATGAGCCAATCTGTGCTCCTTCTTAAAGCTCTGTGAGAGGAAATATTTCCTTTCCTTAGTCCTTTTTGGGGAATGGGGTGAGAATAGAAACCAGGACCCTGTGACTGTGAGGCAAGTGACACACCTCTGGCTATCCTTCCAGACCCCACAGCTGCTAGTCAAGTGCCATGCCACTGAGCCATCCTTCGGGCCCCCATGTCCTTTTCTCTCTCAGTTAGCATTCCTACTACCTTCAAGGGCAGCGACTACATAGTTCTGACCTGTTTCTGCACCACATCTTCTCTAACTCTGCCTCCTCCTCTCAGCCATCAGGACCCTTGTGACTCTGTTAGTCTCAGCTGGGTAATCCAAAATAATCTCATCCCAAAGTCAGCTGATTAGCAGCCTTAACTACCCCTGTAGTCTTGTTTCCTCCTGGCCAGGTGGCATAGCATAGTCACAGCTTTCAAGGCCTTATGTAGATATTGCTGGCGTACTTTTCTGCCCAGCACACATGATACAATATCTTGATGAATCCTCAAATCTTGGAATCTTGGCATAAGACTCAGGTATAAATGGATTTAATTTGTTAGTATTTTATTTAGAAATTCCGCATCCAAGTTCACGGAGCATGCAAATTAGAAGACTTAATTTTCTTAGCTTCTTTTTTAAAAAATAATTTATTGAGAATGTCATACATGCATATGTGTTTTGATCAACTCCATGCCCACTCCCTCCCCTCCAACTCCTCCCATATCTCCTCATCACTTT